AGTTCAGTTCTCAGCACTTGAGCAGATGGCTCACCATCTGTAACTCCAGCTCCACAGGATGGGAGTCTCTCTTCCGGCCTTGGCAGTCCTGCACTTACTTTTACCCCAACACATACCCCCCATACATAATTAAACAAATAAAAAGTAACGTAAAGTCTTTACAATCACCTAGGAGACACATCTCTGGACATTCCTGTGTGACTTTCTAGATTGGATTAATGGAAATGGGAAGACCCGCCCGGTGGGTGACACCATTCCGTGGGCTGGTGTCCCAGTCAAAATAAAAAGAAGTGAGCAGGGCACCTGACGTTTCCTGACTGTGGCTCCGATGTGAGCAGCCTCCAGAAGCTCCCGCTGCCTTTACTGCACTGCCACCATGAACCGAGTGAAACGAATCCTTTCTTCCTTAGTTGCTTTGGGAAGTATTTGGTTACAGCAACAGGAAACTAACTATGACAGTCACAGTTACCTTGTGTGTTCTGTTGGCTAAGGACCTGGCATGGTGATCACTTGTCCTGGTGCCTGGGTTTGCTCTCCAGCACCTATAGGACAGAGGGCAGGATGGGGAGAGGGAGCAAGAGAGAGCTTGCGAGGTAGTGCTCCAGATGCGCTCTATGGATAGTGTATTCCTTTTATAGTTAGGAGCTGGAAGGTTTGTCTTCCTCAGATACTAGGTGAGTACTGGGTTAATCCTGGAATTCGCCAGAAAAACCAGTCCCACCATTTTAGCCAAATTTGAGCAAGCTTTTATTAAAAATTTTAAATACTGACAAAGATGGAATTTGGTCAGGACCACTTCTGGAAAATTTCCTGCTGTGTGGCCTCGAGACACGTGTTGGCAGGGGCTTATATGGGCGAAACCCATAGGTCAGTATACTTTCCCATGAGACTTTGTTGTTATTTTCCAAGAACTACAACTCCTAGCATCCCAAGATGTTACCAACTCCTTGGTGGTGGTGGTGGTGGTGGTGGTGGTGGTGGTGGTGGTGGTAGTGGTGGTGGGGTATCTTCCAAGAACTACAATTCCCAGAATCCCATGAAGTTACCTGGTCCTTGGGCAGTTTAGGGGGTGTCTAACAACTGGAGCACTTATTCTGCAGATGGCCGTTTCCTACTTGTCTTGGTTTCTTTTCCTGTTGCTGTGATAAAACACCCAGACAAAAGCAACTTAAGGGGAAGAGGGTTTATTCTCGTTCACAGTTCCGAAGGATGCAGTTCATGCTGGTTGGGAAGAGACGGCCCGGGCTGGAAAGCCAGGGTGGCAGTGGGCTGGGTCGCCACTCTAAATCCACACTCAGGAAGCAAAGCGTGGACCGGAAATGGGTCCAATAATGAAGTTTCAAGGCCTAACCCCTGTGGTAGCCCCCACCCGGTACCAGGCAAGGGAAGGAAAGCAGGGAACAGTCACTCCAGCTGGTCAGTGCCCCCTACAGAATCCTTCCTTCCTCTCCCAACACATTCGAGCTTTGTAAGCCTCACTGCCCAGTAGTTGAAAGCACTCAATCAGAATGTGAATCACCATATAGAGGAGCCAAAATCGTCACGGTAGTGTAAAAAGCTCTGCACCATTACCTAAGCGAATATTCAGCAGATCCTGCTGGCGGGTACCACAGACCGCTTGCTGACAAAAGATGCCTTGGGATCCCATGTCTTTGAACCTGAGAGCCTGCAACTCCAAAAGTGACCCGCTTCTTCCAGCAAAGGTTCCACAGCCTTCCCAAACAGTGCCACCAACGAGAGACCAAATGTTCAAACATTCCACATTCAAACCACAACACCAAATATCGTAGCAAAATCAAAGATCAGCACATATTAGCTGGTGTAGTTACATAGGTATTTTTTCCGAGCTATGTGGGAGACAATAGCTGTGACTTTGAGTATTAACTTTGAGACAGGCAAGAGAGAGAAAGACAAGAAAGGAAGGAATGACCCCCATGGCAGCGTTAAATGGGAATGAGAAGCTGGGGGAGGGGAAGCCAGTGAGCTGGAGAGGTTTAGGGTAGGGGGCGGGGTGAGAGAGCAGAAGAGAGCCAGGATGCCAGCCTGGACCCTCTAACAGGTATTTGCTGTGCTGAGGGGGCCTGGAGGCCAGCGTGTGCTTTGGTATGCTAATAGGCACCTCCGTTAGCTTTCCTCCGGTTTATTTTGAACCTGACACCATGCTTCCAGGAGGCAGTCCTCTTCCTGCCCTGGCGAAATGAAAGACTACAAAAGCCAAGGCAAACGCCAGATGAGTCTATTCCTTTGTTTGTGGAGACTATGTAGCCTTGGCTGACCAGGATGGCTTGGAACTCACAGACACCTACCTGCCTCTGATTCCGGAGTTCTGGGATTAAAAGTGTGTGTCACCAACTCGCTAAAGTCTGTCCCTTTTTTTTTTTAATCAGAAAAAAAAAACCCACAACAAAGTAAAACAAAACAGGTCTTGGAAAGCTGTACCTATGAACCTATGACTCTTCTGGCTAAAATGACCGTGTAGCTATCGGAGCTGCAAGATGGGCCTGGGGGAGGAAAACAGTTTGAGTCGGGGGCGTTTTGCGCAGTTATTTCCTCTAAATTCAAACATTCTCTTCCGCAGGAAAGAGAGAGGCTCCTAAAACTCAGGAAGCTAAAGAGATCTACTTTCGAGGCCGATGAGATTTGCAAAAAAATTTCTCTCTAGGGCTTAAGGTAAGTCAGTAGGAGCAGTTGCTGGGGGAAAGGAGGGGGCCTGTTGGGTAGAACTGGCTTCTGGCCCGGCGTGCAGCTCCAGAAGTGCGGCAGTCACCCATGTACCTGTAAGTAACCCCAGTCAGCTCATCGCTTGACTTTGCAAACTAGGCCAGGGCGGGCTGGCTTCTCTGGTCTCTCGTTAGTGCCATAGCTGGGGTGAAGGGATGTTTGCCAGCTTTTCTCTGGAAGTCACACAGCCTCACACAGAACAAAATAGTGCTTTCAACAACCAAACAACCGAGCAAAACCCAAACTGGGAAGGGATGCTGCAGCGTCTACTACGGATGTAACCGTAGTTTATCTTTCATCAGCGATATTGACAGTACCAAAGATTATTCCTCTTAAATCCGAACTCGGTTTAACAGGGCTCTTACCCTTATCCTTAAAGTCTCATTAAACCTAGTCAAAGCTAAAGAACCAAGTGTATCTGGGTTTCTCAAACTGGTCCTATTTCCTGCTCTTCGGGTTCTTTTCTCTATCTTTCTCCCAGGGCACAGTTTCAAAGCTAGACTTGGAAATCAGAAACATGTCAGTCGTGGTTGACAAAGAAAACCCACTCACTCAAAACAAGGCTTTTAAGCCTGAGAGTGTTCTGTGATGTAAATGGGTGTTAACAGTCAGCTAGTTTACAGACCAGCCATGTTTATTTAGTTCTAGGAGGCTCTGTGGTCCCTCAGTCTCTCACCATGACTTAACTATATTAAAACATTAAATTAAACATTAAAATGAATCTCAAGCCTACCCTTTTTACAGTTTAGTGGACAAAGATGCTGATGAATATTTTCTGAAGAAATATGGTGCCTTTCCCATTCATGAAATAAATATAAATAAGACTTTTAATTGTTGGAACCCTCCTCTCCACTCAAAACAGTTTGGAGAGCTACTAGCCCTAAAAAGATGTGAGAAGAAATATGTGGTTTTCAAACACTAATAGATTCAGCACCAGAGGAAATCTTATGAAATTTTCTTTAAAATTATTTTTATTACAAATTTTTTATGAGTGTTTTGACTGCACATATGTATATGCACCACTTGCATGCCTGCTGGCCCATGGAGGCCCCCAGATCTTAGTAGTCCCCCAGATCTTAGCACAACTGACTCCATGGTGGAAGTAAAGGCCAGAAAACTCAGCACGTAGCCGGGTGGTGGTGGTGCACGCCTTTAATCTCAGCACTCGGGAGGCAGAGGCAGGCGGATCTCTGTGAGTTCAAGGCCAGCCTGGTCTACAGAGTGAGATCCAGGACAGGCTTCAAAACTACACAGAGAAACCCTGTCTCGAAAAAAAAAAAAAAAAAAAGAAAAGAAAGAAAAAAAAACTCGGGATATAGACAGCATCACCCGCCAAAACAAAAGCAAAGACCTAATCCATCAAAGTCCATAATTCTCGGAAGGTCTCTAAATGTGCTAACCTTGCTTTTTGGCTCTGTAGTTCCGATTCTGGTTAACTGTTCTTCTTAACTGAAGTGTGTCAACTCAGGATATTGTTTTTGTGCTTAAAAGCTCACCCGGAGAAAGGCTCTGAGCTACACTGGGTTCCCAAACGCCCCATGGAGTTGCCAGTGGGCTAACAAAGGCTTTCTATTGGCTCCCACCGGTATCTGAATGGTCTTCTCTGGGGATACCCCACAATAGTCAGGAGAGGGTGTTGGATCACTGGAACTATACGTGAGCTACCATGTGGGTGTTGAGAATTGAACCACATTCCCTGGAACAGCAGTAAGTACTCATCACTACTGAGCTCTCTAGAGGCCCCAGGGAATATTACACGTTTTCTAACCGAAGGTTTCATTTTTCCTTTGTTCCAAAATGAGAAATTTGTTCAAACAGGAAGAAACAGGGTATGTGACAAAATTCAATCACATGAAGAGAGTATAGAATTTTGCTTAAGGGAGTGTGCTGCTGTATGGCCAGGCTCATTAGCTGTGTAACCAGGAACAAATTACTCAGCTTTTCTGTATGCCTCAGTTTCCCCTAATGAAAATGGGAGTCACATTAGTGTGCACTGGGTCGATGATTATGATAATTTCCACAAAGAACAGCAGAGTGTAGAGCACTTATATCAGCAGCTAGAAACACGGGCCGTGATTTTACCCATTAGGAATTCTTCTTCCCCAGTGAACCTGATGGGCTAGCTCTGCTCTGGGTCACCTGCATCAGCAACCATCAAAGCTCAGAGCGTGGCAAGCTCGCCTAACTGAAGATAACTTCACTTATTCAGACATGTGCAGGATAGTGCTTTAGGTCTCAGCAGACAGAATGCTTGCCACATGAAAGAGGGCAGGGTTTACCTGTGTTCAAGCGGTCCTTGGACCCTTTCATGGGGCTAGAGCAGTTCTTCAGCTTTCTCAGTGGCCAGGCATTTGGGAGGTTCCTACAGATGGATAAAGTAATTAAAAAGCCGGTGGTTGCATTAGGCATCTGAAACACAAGCCAATGAATGCACTGACTAGGGGACAGTGTTAAGGCCCCAGAATCTATTTATTTCATCCCAGGGAGAGAGGGGTTCCAGAGCAGGAAGAACAAGTAACTTTCCAAAAGTGGCACCTGGGATTACCCTGGGGACTCCGCTCACAAACAGATCTAGAAAGGAAAACCCAGCAGTTTATATAACTTCATTCATTCATGAGTAGCTGTGGCTGGAACCCAACTATTCAAAATTCTTGCTCGGTTATTAATTCATTGTTAAGTTTCGCTAAAAATAGTAAATGTATATAATTCAAGATTTCTCGTGATAATTTATTATAAATAAACACTACAGACATGAGGTTGATTCTTACATGCAACTGGAGGTAGAAAAGGCCCATTTGTAAAAATCAGTGAGCGTTAAATAGATCTTTATGAAAAAGCATTCTTTGAAGGAGCAAGTAAGTAGTGAATCCTTAAAATGTTAGTGTCGTGATTAATAAACACTTCCCAGGAAATAGAAGGAGCAATTTCCAGTTTTTCTGAATGAGCCGAACCATAATGCCATTACTACTGGATGGTTTTATTTCTCAGAATTTACGTGAAATAGGAAGGGTCTTAAAAATCAAACACTATTGCTGTGCATCTTTATTAAATCTGTTTCTACTACAGCATGTCTTGCTTCAAAGAAGAATTACCATCCTTAAAATTCCCGTGAACTTATATCCCCACCCCCACTCCCCCAGAGTAGGGTGTCCTCAGGCAAGGGGAGGAGAGGATGGCGCAGGCCCTCTGGGGGCAGGTTAGTTTGTCACGTAGGAAAGGTCACCGCCGGGCCGCGATGGCTCCTTCTCGGCAGACCTAAAGTCGGGGCGTCTGCACGCTCCCCCTTCTCCCTGGCGCGGCCCTGGGTGGCCGTGGGGTCGGGAGGTGGCGAGAGGGGGGGATGGGGGGGATGGGGTGGGGATGGGGGGCCCGCGGCGTCCCCCAGGGTGGGCGAGCATCTCCTCAACTCCCTACGGGGAGCCGGCGAGCTGGGCGCGGGGGGCCCCCCGCGGCTTACACGCTTCTATTCCGGGCTAAGCCAAGGTCACTCTTCTAATTCCGCCCGCCCGCCCGAGCGAGCGAGCGAACGAACGAGGGAGCGAGCGAGCGAACGAACGAGGGAGCGAGCGAGCCGGGGCGCGCTGCGGGCGGGCGGGCGAGCCGTGCGGGCGGCGGCGGCGGCGGCCCTGAGGCGGGGCGGCTCCCGAGGCCGGCCGGGCGGGCGGGGGGATTCGCGGTGGGCGCGCCGCGGCGCCAGTGCGTCACGCCGGCGGAGGGACGGTGGGCTGCGGCCGGGCGGCGGCGGCGGCGGCGACGACGGCTACGACGACGGCGGGGACCGGCGGCTCATTCATTCGCGCTCCGCCTTCGGGCCCCCGCGGCGCGGCGGAGGTGAGTGAGTGCGCGCGGGGCGCGGCGCGGCGCGGCGGACGAGGCCCGAGCTGCGGCCGGGGAGTGCGGTGGGGTGGGGTGGGGTCGGGGAGGACCTCCGGCGGCGGCGGCGACGACCCCAGGTGCGCCGGCCTCCATTTTGTGTGAGGGAATGCCGCGCGCTCGCCTTCCCCGGGGGTCGCGGCCGCGGCGCCCGAGCTGCTCCCTCGCTCCCTCCCTCCTCCCGCCGTCCCCACCTGGAGCCGGGCGCGGTGGGGGTGGCGGTGGGGATTGGGGGTGCTCCCCCCGGCGGCCCCGCTTGCCGCTCCCGACTAGGTGCGGTGCGGAACGAGGCTCGGGCCTCCAGAATTCGGGTCACTGCGGTTCGTTCTGGTCCATCCTGCGGATCTCCGAGAGGCCTGGGCGGCCGGCCGGCCGGAGAGGGAAGGATGGAAGGACGGACGGACGGACGGACGGAGCCTCGAGTCAGTCCCCGGGGGTGTGTGGCTCTGGGGTCTGGATCACAGTGTCTAGACTGCGATGCGCGTGCCTGGGGAAGAAGGACGGAACGCACATTGCGCCCTCCTGGCAATGTTTACGCGGGGTATCTTATCCAAAGTAGATCCCCAGGTAAACCACCTGATGCCGGTCCTCCCCTTCCCCCCTTCAGGCCGTCCCTCTGCAAAACCCAACTGAAAACGCTGTGGAGATTGCGTAGGGGATTGGGAGAGGAGGGGCGCGCGGCTAAAAGATCGCCCAGAGGAAGGGTTTTAATATAACCCCCCCCCCCCCAGAATTATTGATTTCTCGTTTCCCAAGATTCTTGAGCATATAGTAATTCTTGTTTAAATTCGTTTTGTAAATGGGCTGTTTGAATGAGTTCTACCCTTGCCTTTGGTATTTTACCATTGCATCACAACAGGGATTAACATCTGGATCGCTGGTGGTTGTTGCATAATACATACATGTGAGCCCTGGAGGGACTTCTAATGGATCTGGGTTTGGTGTGCTTTAATTTTTTTTTTAAAGCACATCATTGGGTGTATAGGTATTCTGTTCAAACTCTATCTTGTTCTATGAAGTATTTGCATGATTTTTAATAACTAATATGGAATAGATTAGGCTCACATATTTATTTATCTACTTTTTTGGGGGTGGGGGTTTCGAGACAGAGTTTCTCTGTGTAGCTTTGCACATTTCCTGGAACTGACTCTGTAGCCCAGGCTGGCTTTGAACTTACAGAGATCCGCCTGGCTCTGCCTCCCGAGTGCTGGGATTAAAGGCGTGCGCCACCATCGCCCGGCACTATTTATCTACTTTTAACTGTTGCTTCTTTAGAATAGGGGAGAAAGGAACCTGAGAGGAGTTCATTAGTCATAAAACTTCAGTACAAATGAGAGTAAAATGAGTCCAGCATGCATAGAAATGGAGTGGCTGTCATTAGTGGTTTCCTCTTTAAATTTATGAAGAGGATCAGTTTGGTGAACCTAGATATAACCTATGTGAGTCTCCTTCCACACCAGTGATCATAAATCAAACTTGTACCTGTGTATTTTTTGGTTCTGAAAGATTTCTTGTTATTTTGATATTTGAAGTTGAGTCCAAATAGCTGTTGTGGTTTCCATCCTTTAGTATACCATGCATCCAATGAAGGGCTTGACTCTTCATCCAGTGAAGGCTTGACTCTTCATCCAGTGAAGGCTTGACTCTTCATCCAGTGAAGAAGACTTGACTCTTCATCCAGTGAAGGGCTTGACTCTTCATCCAGTGAAGACTTGACTCTTCATCCAGTGAAGAAGACTTGACTCTTCATCCAGTGAAGGGCTTGACTTTTCATCCAGTGAAGAGGGCTTAACTCTTCATTCAGTAAAAGGCTTGACTCTGATTTGTGAGAAAAAATACTGGTTGAATACTTTAGAAAGTAAAACATTTTCTGTTACCCTTATTGATAAATTAAACTTTTAAAAGCATCTAAACTGCTACCATATTAAGTACCATCCCCAGCAGCAGATCATGCTCTCCCCCCCCCCACCCAGACAGGGTTTCTCTGTGTAGTTTTGGTGCCTGTCCTGGATCTCACTCTATAGACCAGGCTGGCCTCGAACTTACAGAGGTCTGCCTGGCTCTGCCTCCTGAGTGCTGAGATTAAAGGCGTGCGCCACCACCACCCAGCACTTCTATTTTTTTAAACAAAGATTTATTCACTTATTATGTATACAGTATGTCTGCACGCCAGAAGAGGGCACCAGATCTTATTGTAGATGGTTGTGAGCCACCATGTGGTTACTGGGAATTGAACTTGGGACTTCTGAAAGAGCAGCCAGTGCTCTTGACCTCTGAGCCATCTCCCCAACCCCATGCTTCCTATTAAGGATGCTTGATTTATAGGCAGAATTATAGAGGGGAAAGGCCCCTAAGATACTTGAGTCTGTGTCTCAGGTGTAAGCCGGGGGACTCCAGGTGCCGAGTTTGGACCTATTAAAGGGAGATGAGGTTGTCTCTCCAGGGGCATGAACGTGAAATCCAACAGCTGCTTTTACTTTCACACTGATTGTGTTACTGTGTGAGTAGTTCCCTAATGGGAACAGTTGTGTTTAATTGAAGACTTTGGAAGTGATCTGGGGGTGCTTTTTTTTTTTTAATTTATTTTATGTATATGGTGCTCTATCTGCATTATATACCTGTAGGCCAGAAGAGGGCATTAGGTCCCATTATAGATGGTTGTGAGCCACCATGTGGTTGCTGGGAATTGAACTCAGGACCTCTGGAAGAGCTGCTAATGCTCTCCAGCACTGGGGTGTGCTTTTTATCTTGAAGGTTGCTTAAGATTTTCAGTGATAATGTTATCTAGTGGCAGAGAAATCAAAATGAAATGTTTCTCCTTAAGCTTTCAAGCCTGTGTGTACTGCCAATCAACTGCCTAAAAATGCAGAGTATTTACTTTAATAGGGATTTACGATGTAAAGGAACCAAGTAGTCAGTCAGGAGGTGGGACAGTATCTGTCAAGGGTGGTGTAGTAAAGATTGGTTAGGTAAGAGGTTCAGTGGATGGGCATGTTCCTCCCCATTTCTAAGACTTAGGAGTGTATGTGTGTTTAATGGTGTGGTTATTTTGTTCCGAGATGACGATCTTTTCAGACAGCATTGGGCTGTACTTCTTTTGTTTCTTTAAGCCTGGAGTTTAAGTTCTAAGTTAGGTATGCCTCATTTGTAGAAAGATAGTTTGCAGTTCTTTGAAAGACATTACTCGGGTGGAATTCATGAAGGGGGAAGGGTGTGATGATTTGAAGATAGTCAGGGAAAGGTTGAGAAATAATAATTGGAAAAATAATTGTTGGAGTTTTAGCGGAAGCCTAACCTTTTCCCTGGGCTAGAAGGATTTGAGGTTAGAACGCTATTTTGTTTAGTTTTAGACTACACCAAAGAAGGCTTTCATTTGTTAAGCAACCACTGGTGTCTCTTGTGTTGTAGGATGCAAAGAAACTGGCCATTTCATTGAGGAGTCTGTAGTGTGATGAAGCATTTTGAATTAAACCTTAAAAGTTCCTTAAAATACAAATATACTGCTCTTTTGAAAGTTTGAATTAGGAACAAATGAATTTATTTAGTAAACGTTTTCACAAAGTGCCATGTTTCACATCCTGCTTTGTTTGTAACTTTGAAAGTGTAAAAATAGTTCAGTTTGGAAAATTCATCATAGTTAGTACTTCAAACCAGACACTTGTCTAGGGGACAGAGACATAAATGTGCTATAATTCAGAAATTTAGTCTTACGATGGGACAGCCATTAAGTACTGTCCTGTAGTAAACTAAGCATGAGGATGTGGGACATACAAAAGGGGACATTCATTTTGGATTAATGAAGCCAGTACTTTACAAAATAATAATGGTTGAACTTGGTCCTGAATGATGGATGAGGTTTTTTTTTTTTTTTCCAAAAGTTTTTTTGAGATATAGAGCATGGTGAGACATGTTCGTAGCATTTGGAAGGATCCCTGAAGATGGATTGTGCAGAGGCCAGAGTTTAGTTGCTGGGAAAAAATGAGCATTGGGAAGAAGTATTGGTTTGGGTATCCAAGGAGAAAAGTTTTAAATGGCAGATTGGGTCTGGCCCATAACATGGTCAAGAGGAATAAGAATAAAAATGATTGATTGGATTTGGGAGGTTGCAATGTTTTTGGTAGCTGGAAAGTCAAGTAATATATAGACTAAAGAGCTTAGAGCCCAATTTAGGAATTAATCAGAATGGAAGGAAAGTCCTTTTGTTGTATATAATATACATTTTATATATATATATATACATATATCTCATTAGATAAAGTAATGAACTGTAGTAAAAGGGATTTCTAGAGGCCAAATCTCTCTCTCTCTCTCTCTCTCTCTCTCTCTCTCTCTCTCTCTCTCTCGCTCTCTCGCTCTCTCGCTCTCTCGCTCTCTCGCTCTCTCGCTCTCTCGCTCTCTCGCTCTCTCGCTCTCTCGCTCGCACAGAAACACAGTGTTTTTAAGCTTCGATTGGTTCCAGATATATCTGATGAGCTTATGCTGACACTACACAGTACTCATTTTTCAGTAAGATTTCACAGTGAAGGCAAAGAGGCAGAAGTTTGAGCTTGGACTTTGCTTGGTTGTTGTCTGTCTGTCTGACTTTTGTTAAGATATTCAGTCTTCCCAGTCCTCAGTGTCCTCAGCTGTGAAAGCGTCACTGGTTAGTGACTTTACTTTGACAAAATCCCTGCCAGAAATAACTTGAAGGAAACGAGTTTGATTTGGCTGCTAGTGTCACAGGATACTGTCCGTCCCCGCAT